ACTATGACAGCAAGTCGGGTCTTATCGCCTGTCACATCAGCGGCTGACATCCCGAAAGCTCTCGCGGCTGAAATGGGAGCAGATCCCAGCAGTCGTGTTTCAAAATGTTGTGCAAAATCTTCACAAAAGAGCGGAGGATGTCATAGCAGCGTATAAAGGCCCATGGGTTTTGAGAGGCTGAGTAATTTCTCATGGGTGTATATGTAATGGATTTCTATGTAGTTGCTACTAAACCAACAGACACAGAAAACAAAACAAACTACAGAAATCATTCAAAGCACCTTTGTAGAGACAGAAAACACTTGTGTGCACTCCCAGACCAAATGGAAAATGGCAGCAGTCCTTTCGAAATGATCTATTCCTCGGCCTCCCGTTGGGAATAATGTGACACTTAGCTAAGTTTGGACCTTTACTATCACAACAAAACAGATTTCATAATAAGAACAGCAGTGAGGTCAGACTCTAGCAGAAACCAACGGATTACGACATAGTTAATAATCCTTCTTACGGCTCCAAACATCTGATTTTAATATTCGCCCCACCGGCCCGCTCCTCTTGTGTATGTTCTGATTACAACTACGTAGGTGTCAGACTATGTCATCTACTGCTCACTTGTTGCCATGAAGCTCTTGTGATGTGTGTATTATCGTCCCTAACAGGCCTCCAGAGAGAGACTGCAGCTGTCTGAGGTCCCAGTCAGCCTCCAGCAACAGGCAGTGACCCTGGGTTCTGGACTCTGAGAACAGCTGAGGAACATGAGGGAGTCAAAAACAGATAAGAAACCCCTGCTGTAGCGTATTAGTGGCCATGGGCATTATATAATACCCACTGGTGTTTCATCTATAGCTGGACCGCAGATTTACAATAGCAGTGTGTACATGGGGCCCCACAGAGGAGCCACTTCACAGCCAAAAGGATTCTCAGATTGGCCAGCTTTATACTGTGGGAGTCATGAGCAAAGCTGGTAAACGGCTGCAGCCCCTTTTGTGCAGTTAATCCAAATCATCAGGGCTTGTTTTAGGGTTTCCCTGTGCCATGTAGAACCACTGTGTTAGTTTTTCCACTGATAATCAGGTTTGAGACAATGTTCTACATCAACACATCACCTGCAACACTAAGCAAAATCAACTCATGCATGGGTCTCTTTGGGTTTCCGTTGCCTTTGCTGAGCCTAACATCAGTGTTCCTGAGTAATTGGCATCACAAAGCTGGTTATCAAGTGGATCTGTTAACTGTGGATTTTCCAGTCTTGCAGTGATCCATCTACTCCGAACAATGAGTGGAGTGCTTAATGTGGAATGTGATATACTTACAGGAAAATTCGACTATATATGTGTTGGCAGTTTGCCTGATTGAATTGAAACATTACCTCTTTAAGTCCAATAAGTCTCCAAAGGCTGTAAATCAGTATGCATACACTCAACTTATACCTAACAGGAAGGATGGACACACATTTTTCTTAACATTAATCTTCTCCTAAATACCATTTTATTTCATTAGTAACATTTCCTGGCAAGGCTGTGCTACATTTCACCAGATCCCTCACATTTCCTATTTACGTCATCTCACTTTCCCGTTCCAGACCTGTGAAAGACACTTCTATCAGTCCCAAAACATGTACCTGAAATGATAATTCATTTGGAATTCTATCATCAAGTGGCATTTAGCTCTGACTTTAAAGGGAAAAACTAGCCAGGCTCTTAAAACAGCCGCTTTACATTTCCTCTCTAGCTTCTCCCTCGGAGTCATTCACACCAATGTGTGAGGGACACAGGGCTTTACATTACTTTCCTTGCAAATAGAGAGAAGTCCCCAAAGGATTCACAGAGTTTCCTCTTTGTTTTTCTTATAATCAGCAGCAAGAGATTTGCACATTGAAAGTAGATTAGCATATTTATTCAGAGAGAGGATCTGTGTAAATGCACACAGTCGGTTTGAAACCTCAGAGGCTGAGAGAGGGAAGCCTCAGCCTGACAGTTCTGGGCCAGAGACTTCTGTTTAAGCAGCACTTGTGTAATTTTCTCTCAGAATGGTGCTTGGGAAGGTGATGTTTATCATAACAAAGCACATGACCATTTATTTGTGCATGTTAAAAGTCATTCAGTTCTGCATAACTGCTTCTCACTGGACCCTGGCAGCCTTTCTGTTTGTCTACCCTTTACACTGAAATTTTTGTTTTATGCAAGACACAAATATATTTACAATACACACAGTAGCTGTGCACAAAATCTTGAAAGCGTCTATTGCGCAACCTTTCGTCTGCCCACTCGTGAATGTGCGTTTCGGTCGAGTCAAACAAAAGCAGCTTCATCCTCCTTATCAGTGCTGTATCTCTGGCAGGAGCGCGGCTGGATGTGCAGCTTTCAGCATTAGAGTGTCACTGCGGATTCATTAATTCAATGATTAATGTCAGTCAAGTCAGCGGGGTTTTGAGGATGAACACAGTTGCCTCCTCTCACCAGAGGAAGCCATTAATTTCCACACTGCAATTAAAGAGACTGCAGGGAATAGATTTCCATACAAATTACACTGTGTGTAAGAGGGAATAAGGCACTTTTGGCCCATCATCTACTCAAGACTTGAAAAATGCTCTATAACTGTTGAGTAATGCCTTCAGAAAATAAACATTTGAGATTGAGGATTAAGTCCCCCCCCCCTCCACTGTAAACCAAATCTTCTCTGAGCATATCCATATGTGGTTTCAGAATGAAACTCTGGGTTTTGTTTGTGCCTCGGGAAAAACATAACAATTCAAGAAGGTTAAAAGGTCTAGTGTTTTTTCCAGAAATGATGCTTTGCATGATTTTAAATAACTAACAAACAGGAACTTCTATTTTTAAAATCTCATTTCTAAGTGCTGCAGTGCTTATTGAGCTTTTTGATAATATGAGGGAATTGTTATACAAAGCTATTTAAAGCTATTTGAGATGATATAACAAAAACACAATCTACACGATCATGTTACGTATTAACAGTCACACAACATGCATTAAAATGTGCATATGTTTGCAGTAGATTGCAGACACTGTCAGATGCGATCTTACATAATAAATTGGCAAAACATAGTCTACGGTTGTATGTATATATGGTTTCAAACAGATTCTCTTTCATACAAAGCCTGCAGCTGTTAACCAGAATGTTTTAAGTTGCAAGTGAGTACAGATGAAAATGTTGTGTACACTTGCAAGCATGTCATCTGTATTTGAGTGAAGTAAAAATAACAACACTCCTCATTTATAGCACAAAATAGCAACAGTTTTCTCACTACTGCTTTGCTATTTTGGAACTGGACCCAAAGAATGTGCTTGCCTCTCCTGGACAACGTCAGTTTAATGAGGTGGACAGTGTTGTTATGGTCGGCACTGAGAACCATCTGGTCGTCTCGTATTCGTGTCTTAAAAGAGGTTTCCACAGCCCAGCTGTAAAATACAACCAGGGAATATCACACCTAATGTGTCTGACTCTCTGCCAGCTTTGTCCTTTTTTTTTTTTTTTTTTACAACACAATCATTCCCTTAGTCATTTTATCATTCAGGTTGAAACCATATGTAGGTGTCATTTACTTTATGACTAAATAAAGTTGACAATGACACTGTCTCAGATCCCATTTATCCCAGAAAAAAAACAAAAAATGTGGTAGAAAATGTGTTCATAAATGTATTTGAGGTGAATCTCTAAGCTGTGTTGACAAACTTGACGTTATTCATTGTCCTCTCACGCTCACATTTCCAAGAATTACAGTTAGCAAGGACCAGCGATCAGTTACAGCACATCCATCACGCACACCAGCAGACCACACATTAGTTAACTGCTTCATAAAAGTGACACAGAATTTTTCCAGACCCGAAAGTCTACTTGCGCAGAACCATCGGCATCATGCAAAACTGAGGTCATGTGAGAGTGCAACCTGAGTCTAAAATGGCATCTACCCAAATCCCGCAGCTGCCCCCCAAGGGCCACATCACACCAGGCCAAATATTTCCCCTCAGCAAAACAGAAACAATGATCTGGCACGCTGCCTAATTTTAACTGCATCCCGCCAAGTGACCAATATATGAAAGGCCTTTAAAGAAAGAGACTGTGCATTTGGACATTCTCGAGACAGCGGCTGGGAGGGAGGGAGCTGACACCTGTGGCCATCACTCTTTTTTTTACATTGTCTGGGGGCCTGAGCAATGCCACTATGCAAGCCAGGGCACAGCGCAGCATCAGCTTGCGGGGAGATTTTCATTATGCGCCAGACAGCATAGCAGCACTTCAATTACAGCACAGTGACTGTAGACGGAGACCCAAGACTCCTTAAAGCTTTATGACTGATCCAGACATAAAGTTTCAAGGTACCACAGTGTAAAGTTTCAGAATTTAAAGTATTCAAATTCTTAGATTTAGTGTGTCTAGGAGAGAATTCCACAAGGCAACACTGTCTAACTCTTTTCTAACAGCATTTGTAATTGTCACTTCATTGGCCGGTGAAGAGATATTATGCAATTTCCTGGGAGATCTGGTGCTCTTTCAGCTAAATCTTTGGTCAGGGACTTAGCTCAAATGTACTGAAATGGAAAAGAGATATCTGCACGCTGAAATCAGTGCGATGTTTGCGCTGACGACATGCTTCCTTTCATTTTGTAATTACCATTACATTCAGTGTAGTGCAGGATAAATACGTGGGTGCAAGTATGCTGATGTCAACAAGTCCCTGAGCTTTCTAATATCCATTAGTCCCAAATGCTATCACATTGACTAACTACCGTTTTCTCTAGCAGCCCTTTATTGCCACTGGATGCTATCCCAGCATGCATTGACCAAAGAGGAAGACAGTCACCCTGAACAAGTTGCCAGTTCATCAAAGACTCAACACAGACTGATCATGTTTGCTGAATCTACACAAAGATGAAGAATAGAACATCACAACTGGCTTCTTCTCATGAGAGAACAGTTTGAAAGTTTGCAAGAACGACATGGACACATTAAATTCAAACACCAAAAAGCTAATTTCTTACCTGCACCTGCTGCATTGATCATCTTATTGAACATCTGCAAGTCAGAAAAAAAACAACAAATTATCAGTAAATGTCAAGATAAACCTGGATTTAATTTTCAGAGGAAGCTGCTCATCACTTGGTGTTGGAGAACTGAAACCACTGAAGACAGACATGTGAGTGATATCAATAAATTAATATTGTCTTTGTTTTACTGTACTCCACTCTATAAGCTAAGAAAAGCAGCTCAAATTAATTGGCTTTAAGAGACACATCCCCTGAATTCAGGAACAGAGAATGTCTCATTCTTCAACAGAGTGCCATAATGAAAAGTCAATGAAGAGTCTCCACAGCAGCAATGAAGGCAAGATTTAGCATTTGTTATCTCATCATCTGATGCACTGCTCAACAGTCGGCTGTTCCTATTAATCTGCTGTCAGTGCAGTGGTTATATCTCAGGAATTAAACCAAAGTTTGCTCAAAGTTTGAAGAACACATCACTGAGTTTTGTTCTGTTTCATTGGAAAGAGGTGATGATACGTGTCATATAAAGTAAGATACAGTGATTCTGTACTTAATAAAATGACTGCAGACACCAGAGGACTGAAAATCTCTTCCTGATCTGGACCAGTCAGGATCTTTTTTCCCTCTCTTACCCAACTCACTCTTCCATTTCCCCTCTGCGGCACACTGGTCTGATTTATGCGCTTGTTTGCTTGCCCCGTTTCCACATTTCTCCTTGGCAGAGAGAAAACGCTGCACAAACTCCCAAGATGCCTTTCTGTAATACTGCTGACCCTCCATCGTGACTGCCAGTTGGCAATCAGCCCACATGGCCCTGATTGGAATTCCTACCAACATATCTGCAAAGGTTTTATTGTTAATTATGACTAAACACAGTAAGTTAGCCATGTGCTGCATGTTTCATGAGGGCTGTGGCCTCCATAGAGTTGTCATGGCAGCAGAAACACTCGCAGTGTAAAGAAGCACTTGGCTGGCAGAGTGATCTATATGGCCACCACCTTACCATGACAGCAAAAAAAAAGGACCTGATTGGCTGGATTAAACAGGACAGGTGGGTTTTGGGTAAGCGTGCTGTCATTGTCATGTTCTTTGACACTTTCAGGCCACACAGCAAATGAGGTCAAGGGACAGCGGGCAGCTGGCGGTCTGTTTTTCATTTATTCAGATGATGAAGAGGCTCTAAAGCAGAAAGGGAGTCACGGCCAACAGATTTCTGGCTGTTTTCAACCCTGAACCACCTGGGGTATTCATATAGCTCCAGGATTAGCAGGTTCAACTGCTCAGTTATCTCCAGGCACAAAAATTCTCAGAGAGAAGCAGAGTAAAATACAAAACAGGTCATAAAAGTATGACTCATACCTTCATGTGTGTATTTTTACCGCTGTTTAAACACAGAAGAGCTGAGTGGGGCCTCTGAAAAGTGAGACATATAGCCACGGATGTATTGCTCATTATTGACTGTGAGATTTGGCACAGTCCGGCAGAATTTCATCACATATCTTTTGTAACAGAGCTCCAAGACGAGTTTTAATGTACAGAGACACAAACAGGGTCATTATCTCCATGCTTTAAAGAGCTTTCTGTAAATGCGATGGTCCTGATAAGTTGGTCTCCATAGACCAGCTTTAGACCCAGTTTCAGAAATAAACTCGTGAAAATTAGCACTCCAAAAATCTGATGCTGGGGCCCCAGAGGAGATGTACCGATTTGACAAGGCTTCAAAGGCTTGAACACATCACTCTCGCTGTCTCATTCCCGACAGCCAAAAGAAAGTATTTCATCCTGGCATATCACAAGAGCTGACCCACTTTAAATACACATCGCCCCAGTTCAGGCCAATCGCAGTCAGATGGTAGACACATGTCAAAGGTTACAGGTCAGAAAAAGCGACATCCTCCTCAGACGATAAGCACAGAGTCCCTTTCAAGGCTGTTGTCAGAGGGAAAACTTCCCCTTTGCTTGCACCAACAAGGATGTTTATATGGAGTGACAGGTCTGTGGTGGTTGAATGATAGATGCTGTCCCGGCACAAATGACAAGTCAGCGGGGCAGCTACAGAGCCGGTCGGTCTGAATGACAAACCAGCATGTCCTCTGTGTGCCCGTCTCTGTCAACAGCAATTAAAAGTAGGAATCCTCAACCCAAATACGTCTCTATGCAGCAATAATAGAACTCAGAAAAAAAAAGCTGGCCACAACCAGACCATGCGCTGAAGAGCAAGGTCAAGATAGCTACAAACATGGATATAGTTTGAGCTCTGTTTTATTATTGAAAAAAATATTTCTTTTTCAATTCATTGACTAATTGTTTAGTCTTTACATTTTTTCCAGGGTCCATGACTGTATTTTACCTCCACTTGTTCTGTGTAAAAAGCAGTCAAAACTTCAAATACTGAATTTACATTAGGAGGGAAAAAAAAGAACAGCAGCAAAAATTTTGTTTGCGCAGCTATAGGCAGTGAGGTTAGGCAGTTTTTCCTGAAAAATGGCAAATTAAAATAGTTTTAGATTAATTTTCTATCAGCTGACAATTCAATTAATGAGCTAAATTTCAGCTCTAAAGAGAATTTATGAAAATACCCCTTAAATACAAAAATAATGATGAAACAGCATCTTTAAAGCAACATGGTAACGACTTCAAAGAAATAATACACTAGATTCTTCTACTGCAAGACACTGACTTTCACTTGTTTAATCTACAGAAGCTGAACAAGTTATACAGACGGGCAAGTGTACTCTCTACTGCTCTCAGATCAATTTAAAAATTGAAGAAAAATCTGAAAGTTGGAGACTAAAAATCAATACTATTGAATTAACACCCCACTATATATATATAAAAAAACAACTGTAAATCAGAAGCTTGTTGGCAATTCCATAACTGAAGAGTTTGTGTTTTTGCAAAATAAAAAAAAAAAAAGAAAATCTGTTTCAGAAATATAATGATATCAATTACATAATATGGGAATATAGTAGATCAATTGTGGACTCACATCTTCCTCCAGCCACTGTGTTAACTGATGACATAAAGATAAAACAAAAAAAAATCTCCCTCCAGCAAGACATGATCTTAATCAACACCCAAGACATTCCAGCTGAGATGGACTCTGCATGCATGATGTGCAGCAGATTGAGGGCGATTTGAGATGCATTCCACTTTTTAGAGATCATACGGAGGCAGGGGGGAGTTGAAGCTTGTCCCAAAGGTGCCAAAAACTTTTACCAGATACTTCCATAAAACATCTCCCAGGTCAAGCCATGGCTACTAATCTGAGCAGCATGTACTATCTCACACATTAAGCTAGTTTATTCTTAGAGCCCAAGACCGTGATTCAGACTCGATCACGTTCTCTTTCTCTGCTGTCAGAAGTTTCATATGGACTCCAGAGCTCTTATGCAAGACTCGGAGGAGGAAAAAATCTCTCTACGCTGCTGACATGTCATTTCAGCTGTTTTTATAAACTTCAGAAGATCGTGCTTCTATATGTACTTTGACATTAAGGGAAAAGCTCTGAGGGAAATCTGCTTTTTTTTTGGTTTGCTGCTGGAGGGATATAGTCTCTGGTATGTGACTTTGTTTGTTTGTTTTTGGACGGAGCCAGGCTCGCTGTTTCCCCTATTTACAGTCTTTATGTTAAGATAAGCAAAGTGGAATCTCCTTTCATATTTACCAGACATCAGGTGGCATCAATCTTCTCATATAACGATCCACACTTCCCAAAATGTTAGGCTGCTCCTTTAACTTAAGCTTTTCTGAAGCTGATAAGATTCAATCGGGATTTTCTGCAGAGATCTCAGCTTTTCATGCTGAAAATGGCCAGTTTTGAGGCATCACTTTATCCTCCCAACCCTCCAGAGCTCACTAGAATATCAAGCTCATAAAATTGGCAGTTATATAATTGTCATAAATAATTGGAAAAATATCATTTGAATGCCCTTAAACATGTCATCACGGTATAACATGAGATCTCATTACACTCAAGGTTACACGCCAGCCATAATACTCTTGTCTGTTACATATGTGGGCATTCCCAGCTGTCCTCAAGCCAAGGTTTAACCAGTGCTGCTGTCATGTTCAAGAGGTAGTTATGGGTTCCACTAAAGAAGACAGGTGGCACCTACTCTGAGAACCAATTTCATTTGAAGCGCTAAGTACCCCTGGACAAAGTCATCTCTGCAGTCAACTCATCTATGTTGTGGTCCCTTAATAAATAAAATAAAACCTTTGCAGATCATATAACTGCTATTACAGTAGGACAAGATGCCAAAAGGAATAATACTGTAAAGAGCATCGGGAGTATTTGACTGGATACTTGCTGTTTTGCTTATAAGCAGGCTGTTTACCATCACATTGCTTCAGAGCTATCAAGAGAGCACAAAGGACAAGTTGAAAGGCTTTGAATACAAATCCGACCTGCATTCTGCAAATCTCTCAGTTGTCTGTTTCCTTTAGAGCAGCTGAATAGTGATATTTATATACTTTGTCCAGCAGAAGTGAGTCCTGCTTGTCTAAGAATGCCTAAGCTGACCTTATTCCCAATGCAAACCCCAAATATTTACAGATAAATGGAGAGAAGAGCCGCTGTACAGAGGGGAATTTAAAAAGATCAGATGCCTGTTGATGGATTTATCTTTAAAGCGGATGTACTTTGGTAGTGTTTCCCATTGTGGATTTTGTGTTATTTAAACATTGTAAACAACATATTAGGCTCAAATCTGAGATTGTGAAAAGTATTTTTATTTTTTTTTTACAGGGAACCATTTTATCCATAAAGAAAACAGACGAGAAAGTTTGTGAAAACATTTTCGAAGATGATAAATTGCTCTGCTTTTGCCGATCACATCAGTTTGTCACAGATAAATGAAACTCGACTGGATCTGGATGTCGATGCACCATACAGAATCTTTTCAGGGAACACATGGAGCAGTATGGATGTTTTTTTAAAAAAAAAAAAACTGTCACCAAAGTTCAACAACAAAATCTAAAAGGTCAAATTAAACTTTCATTGGATTAATTTAGATAAAACAATCCAAGGATGGATATTATGGATACGTACTAGATGTGTGCTAGTTTAAGATGGAGCAAACAGTTCCCTGACGGACAAAAACTTTGATTTACGACAGACGAATACTTTGCGTATCGCACATGAAGTAAACAGCTCATGGCAGTCACCCAAAAGTGCAAAAGCCAGATTTGAGCTGAAAAAAGAAAATGTCACGGAGTCATATTCCAATGAATTTAGCAACAAGTAGGTCTGAACAACAGCACTGCATGTAGCAAGTTTGTTTATACTGTGCAACAAACTGTATGTATACGTTCTCGTTGACTTATAGAGAGGCTGTTGGCCGCCTGCAGGAAGCCGTGATTCTTAGAAAAACTTACCGTCTTCTTGGATCTTGCTTTTGTTCCCAGTGAGGAGCTGCGAGGAGCAGAAAACCTGTCTCGGCTCTGACATTCCCCTCTGTCTGGTCTTTGGAGAGCTTGGTCGTTCAGGGCTTGATTTAACGTGGACTTTGAAACAGCACCCCACTGCAACAACATCACAACAACAATTAAGGCTGGGTCTGTCTCTGGCCGACTCAACTGACGAGGACAGGATGGACTCAACGGTGGCCAGAGGAAAAGAAAACAAGAGGCTGAGGTCAGCGGCTGGGGAAGTGAAATCTCCACTCTCAATTCAGCTTGACAGAGGCGCACAAAGGAGCCTGTATGTGTGGATCTTCTTTTGAGAGGACAGAGATTATGACCTTGTCAAATATCCCAGTAAAGATGTCTTGTCTTGCCCAGTCGCTTGTCATTAGTTAAAGCAAGTAACAGTGAATGCCTGGGATGGTTATGCAGATGCCTCGGAGGCATGTAAGCCTCTCTCGACCATTCCTAATGGACCAAATCATACAAACTCCCGTCCAATACAACAGCTCCTCTGTGCGGTACATACATATGAAGCCCTAAAGAGCACTTTTGTTCCTGAATGCTAAACTCTTAGTGGGATATTTCATGAAACATGCCACCATCAGAAGGGCCCTTTTTTTTTTAGGAACAAAGTTGCATGGTTCCAATCGCAATGTCAAAGGCACAATAGCTGCCTGTTCGTGCTGCAGTGTTCTCGCTGAGCTAAAGCACTGTAGAGCCCAGTATCACATCTAAGAGCTGCAGACCTACATCATAAAACAGACTAGGAGGCACAGAAATACTTAAAGATCGCCCGACAAAGCCCATAGTGTCACATCTATATCCCAATATCTGACAAGCCACACAACTCACAGCAGATCAACAAACTACATCTCCCTTTAGTTACTGGGTTTAAGGTTTTCCGCTGTCTAATTTAAGAGAACTTGTTTGAATCTGAACGTAATGTGCAACACTTTTTAAAAATGAACCAGGACGTAAAATTCTGAACACCTGCTACTCACAGGTTGGAATAATCCACTGGGATTTTCTCTCGACAGAGCAAACTAAATTGATTTAGGGACGTGTAAAAAAGCATGACCAAGTATGCAGCATACGCTTGACAGGAATGTGAACACTACCAACCGTGACAGTGCACATACCATAAGGGAGGGAAGGTGGAAGCACTGCAGGCCACATGCTGCTTCATAAAAAAAAAAGGACATTCTGTTTTTTCTGTAGTTGTATCAAAATATGGCAGCAAACGCAGCATTTACGATGCCAGGCTGTGAGAACGCACTCTCACCTGTTTCTTGCGAGTGGTGCAGGGTGTGTTGGACGGGGACGAGCTCGCGCTAAGAGCCTCTTCGATGTCCAGATGAAGTTGGTCCAGTTTCCTCATCAGCTGGCTCATTGACTCCGACCAGAGAGAATTGAACTGTGGAGACTCCTGTGGGCAATTAGGGAAGCATTCAGATAAGACAAGTCAAGCTGTGCCTGTTACTGTATAGTATTGAGTTAAAGACTGAGCCAGTACTGGGGCATGAATATACTTTTTTGCTCTTTTATGCTCCACATTTTGTTGTCTGTTTGCTTGCAAAAATTTGTAATATTTTGAACATATTTTTTTGCCTGAAGAAGGCACAAGTGGACACGTGTTTTCCATTGTCTCTTGCCAACTGTAATAAAGGCTTTTCACTTTTAAAACTCAAGTTGGCTGTCTGGATTTTTATGCCTTTCTTTTCTGGGTTATAAATCTTCCACCCTCCTTTATCATTATTATCTTCCACGAGCACCCGTGGTTTTAGGGGCACCAGCAGAGTTCTTGTAGCTTCTTCACAATTGTTCGTCTTGTTTAACCTGTTTCTTTCACTGTCTTTTGTTTTCTAGAACTGGATACTTATATATTGTATTCGCATTTCATCTTTTCCAGTGTTTAATACTTTCCTAGACAGTTGGTGTACAAATAATATCCACATTTTCTAAATTTTGAGTGTTGCAAGCTGCACCAGCAATAATATAATTAAATTAAATTAAAAGACTTGACAAATGTCAATCTCCAGGGCTGAAAAATGAACCCAACATGGAAATGCAAAAAAAAGTACATTCTGTTCCTTGACTGTCCATTTGATACTGACTCCTAAAGCCAATCCGCACAGAGCCCCATGTTAAAATGCCCGACTTTACAACTTGTTTACATCCTGGTACAAAAACAACTTTATAGCTACTTCCCACGTTCGTGATAACTATATGGGGGGTGAACTTTTATACACCGCACCCATTTATAGTGTAGTAGGGCTTAAAGTTAAAGGTGTGGTCACTTTGAGGCCCACCTCAGTTAACCTCGTTCTCCACCTGTTGGCTCATTTTTAGATTAACAAGGAATTAGATGGAGTCCCAAAATCCAAAGATGGCAACAGCCAGAGGCCGACTGAGCGTCAAAACCTCACTTCCCAAAACTTCTGGGTCACAGAGCGTTCGTCCATCTTCTTATGCAATCTAAGTATCAAAACTCACATCGTCGTGTAGGCTACACTCACTCACTTTACTGCACTTTATCGAAATTGCCTGGTATCATAATTCATTAAAAATCTCAAATTTTATCAGATTTTCAAACCTATAGTGAAAGTAAGTGGAATGTGGCTCACTAGTGAGTCTAGTAAATGCCTTCATCCTTCACATGCAAGCTTTTAGGTAAGAGCATCTGTCAATTTACCACACTGCCCTAAACGTAAAAAAAGAGTTACAGACAAACCCAAAAAAGTATCTTGTAAATTGCAGATGCTACATCAGTGGACTGCTTCGCTGCCACACATGGAAATGTGATCTCCTCAACTGTGTCTCGGGGTTAAAGAGCAAAGGAGGAGTGTTCCAGACATGTATGCCATACAGAGCATGATGGAATACCCTGCACCGGCTTTCACTGCTCCCCAGACACACGGCGTATATAAATAGACCATCCTCACACAGACAGGAGCTGTGTCTGAGGATCTGGAGGTCCAGCCTCATAAATCAGCTGGATGCACCTCAGTCACCAAAGCATAAATTATCATTGTTGTTCTGTAATCTGAGCAGAATGTCAGACAGCAGATATCAGTGTGTGTGTGCTTCTTGACCAGTCCTGGAGAGGATCAAATGCTGCACAATCTTCAACAGCACCACAGTGGACCCTCTTCAAGAACCCCAGTATGAAATCCCAGAGCCAAAGAGGAGTGGGTATTTCTCCTGAGGGTCGATGCAAAGCTCACCGTAATGACGTCATATATTTCCAAGGAAGGCAATTCAGGAAGTCTGTTAAGAGCGTGGGCCAGTAAGGAGAACAGACAAATCTGGTCTACTGGAGATTGGTTAAGTTAAAGAACAAACCTTTCAAGGTTATCAACCAGCAAATGCAAGTCCCGTCTTTGCACAAAATGGGTTAGAAGACAGAATCTACAATATGTCTGTTGCTCTTCCTCAACCCAATCTGCATCTGATCTAAATATTCAGAACTCTAAGTGCTGCATGACATAACAGAGCTGCAATCTTCAGTGAAGTGCTCTGTCCGACTTGTATTTACCAAGGCCACTGTGATACCATCCAAGATTCATGAAGTCTCTGAGATTACACTTAAGTGATGCTTGGTCATCCCAGTTCCATTCAGACTTTGTTTTTTCTTGGTTTAAAAACAACTGACAGATAATAACAGCATGCCAGTCCTAATTCCAAGGTTCAAAATGTCCCAGAAGAATCACATAACAGGAAGTAGAGTGTTTCTTTTGTCAACACTAAAATGAATCAGTTAAATTCAGCTGATCATCATCAACAAAACCATTTCCTAGAATTAAAATCAAAACCTGTGACTGAGCGTACTGTCTGCCACATTTGAATCAAGTCATTTTTCCAGAATATTAAAAGTCTCTAAATGCACAATCATTTCATTGATGTGACTTGTCACTGAATGTTCTGATGGGAAAACCCCCAGGACATCTTGGACAGGGCGTGGTTCTAGTCAGAGGGGCTTCAATAAACTTGCTTTCAGTTTGAAAACAAATATGATGCTTGTTTTAGCATTTCCAGTTAGTCTCTGTGGTTGCACTAAAAATATATACATATATAAAAAAAAGAAAAGAAAAATCCAAATGAAAATGGCGAATGAGGACAGGCCATCTTTGTGACTGGTTCTGAGAGTCACTTTGCAATCCATAGACTGTTTATTTTCAGTTTAAGAAACAATATTTGCTTGCATACGTCTCCGTAAATAACTAATACATTTTGCATCGAGGTATGACAGCTTGTCAGCAAATTATCCTCCACAAAGTTGTACATCTGAACCATATTACAAAGTAAGGCATTGACAAACTTATATTGTGTTACATTCTCCCTAAATTGAGAGGAATTAAGAGGCCAGACACCAGACACCATTCAGCCTGCTGACCACCCAGGGTCAGCTGACTGACCCAGCACTGGAAGAAAGTGCCTTTTTCTACTCAATCCGTGAGGAATGACCAAAATCTGGCCAATCCCCTGCTGACCTCTGAGGCCTGAGGGATCACCCCAGGTCACGAAAAAGGAAAAAAATAAAGCTTCCCTTCTCTGCTATGTCTGTATTTCAGGCACGGTGCCCAACAGGGTATTTAAGATGTTTGACACCGGATCAGTGTGTTTAGACAGCTCAAACCTCTGTGTCTGCTTCACAAATAAAAGCAGTTCTTATGTTTAATGTGAGCACCTAGAACAGAAAATAGGACAGAGATCACAAACCCTGTATTAACTGAGTGAAGAATAAAGTAGGTAAACATTTCATTAAACTTCCCAAAGCTTTATAATATGAAACTATTTCAAATAAATCCACTCTAATTCCCAGTAAATCGGCGCATCCTTTTTAAAATATTCTCCAGATGTGCACTTTTTTCAAAAATAAAGACTGAAATGAAAGTCTCATTCACAATAAATGATAGAATCAACTTTATAAATTGCAATAAGAAGAATTCCTGCGAATCATAAAAAGGCTTCAATAATTAATGAAGAATATTAATATTATATTACAGGTAAATTGTGACAAAACGATGGTGATATGGTTGATAATTGTATATAAACACTAAAAATGTACAAATTGACCCAAAAAAGGTACATCCTGTGTGAGAGAAGTGACTGTAGATCCTCGTGATCATTCTAATATTGAGCCAAAACAAATAAGTGGAGCATTTAATTAAAAGGAATGTGAGTGGACATCAGTCCAACTGAAGTTCAGACTGAGACTGGGCAAACTATACAGAGATTATCTGTTTACTTGAAGATCTGGAATTAAGCCTCAGTGACGACAAGCACTGATGCTTATTAAATGTCTTTGAGCAAGAATTTTACGTCTATGTTTGTATGTGACTAGTTGAACTCCTTAGATTAAAAAAAACAAAAACTGGATATTTTCAGCCAAATGAATGAACACAAATAATAAAAGGAAGCTGAAGATCTTGCGTGCTGGACTGCTAATTAACCCCAAGTGTGAAACAAACACAAATGCAAGAAACAGATGCCCCATTCTGGCACATGCTGAAGCCAAATCTGGAACACACTCGCACTGTCTCTTTTCAGTGACATCCCCACAAGGTGCTGCTCAGGAATGCGGGTACTTCTGCTTAGAATGAGACAAATTCCAGAGGAGGCTTGACGCTCAAGTGAGACACTACCCTTGATTCATCTCTCAGTGCCTTTCCCCTCGATCCGGCCCAGGCAATTGTGTGAAGCCACCACTCCATGGCAACTGAGCTGGTATGAGTCAATCCCTTAGATAAATGCATTAATGTTATCTTCTGGGGACAGCAAAATGTGAGCCGACTATAACTTTATCAGCGCAAATTGGCCACATTGTGAACCCCAACATAGCGGCTTTGACATGGAAATGAGGAGTTAAGTGTGTGAGCTCTGGGCTCGGTGCCTAGTCTACGCCACCCACAGAGAGTGCCAGAGATCACCATGGAGGTATCCAAATGTAGCAGCCGGTCATGCGAAAGGGCAACGGCTACCTGGCTACTCGGAAGAATAAATTACATTCTTAATATCCTGCGATGCAAAACACCATGTGAACACAGACACAGCCATGTCTAGAGGAGGAGGAGGAGGAGGAGGAGGAGAGAGGTGAGGACATGTGTGTTTTGAGGGGCAGTTAGTCACAGATGACCAAAACCAGCTTAAAGGAAAGAGGAGTCATGGAGCGGAAACTTTATGCAGATGGTGCCCTCATATGGTAAATGGTAACAACTGCATCCAGTTAGTATCTTCCACTTCAAGATTTTAAATCAGACTCATATTCTTCTGCAAGTAAAACTAATCTGAATACTCATCTGGGAAATCTGCAATCAGACACATGCTATACACGTGATATTTATTTATTTATTTCAATCAGACCAGCATTTAAGCATTTGGTCATCAATTTTTTTTTAAAGTTTGATGTTGTTTTTATGGATAATACAAGATAACATTCATGTATTATCATCAAGTTTTGGACAGTCACATTTTCTCTTTAAAACATTTCACTGTCAAAAACAACAAACTAGCGATCCTACAAAATCAATTGACTTTTGTTCTCCTTTTCTTTCCCTTCCTCACAGTGATGCTCACATCACAGCCTCCCACACGATAAGAGAGTCCGTGGTGTGACAGCACTAGAAGCATTTACTGCCGTCCTTTGATAATATTTACAACGGGCTTCCCGGATTCCCGGCATTCTTCAGCTCTTCTCCAAAACAACCCATTCAGAGCGGAGTGTCATTCTGCACATAAAGCTGGCATTACCTCCACATCTTGCCCAACCGACACACAGAGAGGCTTATGTCCACCAGCCGTTTGCTCTGCCCTGTTTAGATGCGTGCTATTATCCACAGACTGTTTAGAAAAGCATGGCAGCTATGTGCAATGGGATATGTTCCCTCCAGCTGCAACGGAACACATATTTAATGGATTAGAAGATATTTATGAATGCCCAGATGAGGGTTTAAAAAGGGCAATAAAGAAGCAGGGATGAAGGGTTACAGAGTCGGGGTAGAGGTTATGTGAAAAGGAGACGCAAATGAGCCTTGAAGACAAGGGAGGAAGAAAGTTTAGTAACGGAGGGCTAAGTTAAGAGCCAATACGATCTGCCGTGGGCTCTGTCAAAACACTGCTGCCTGCTGAGGGAGTGGAAAGAAAGCAGGAGCTGTTTGCATTCCTTATGGATCTGCGTTTCACCAGAACAAAAGTCAGTGTACTCCTACACACTTATACCAACTACGGCTTATCTCACAGTGGAATGAAAGCTGGGTAGCAAATATGGACTGTTACAGTATGACTGTCCTTCTACGGACAAGTTAAACAATGTCACTTCAATTCACATCCTTCCATCTTTCTCTCTTTTTTGATTTTAAGCTAAAAAATACTTTATTTTAGTTTCCTTATAAAGCCCATGTGAATATTTGACACCATTTGCCTGTTCATTGGAATACTATTTTGGATTTGGTAAATTCAAATGCAGGGTTTTTTTGCACACAGGGTTTTCTTACATGTTTAATGATTTTTACGATATTTCAAACATCACGTGTGCCTTCAATTTGTTAAATAGCATCTCCACTGTGATCAAATTACACAAGGGAAACGTGTTTAGACATTTCAAGTATTTTCAAAGGGCTGCTCTCTATATGCTCTTTTTTCTGTGATGCATATTAAATACTGTGACATCATTTAGTGATGGATGTACTATTTTGTTCATATCTATTTTGTAGTATATATTAATTTTAAAGGATCTGTCATTGTATTCCATTTTTAGGGTGCCTTTCTAACATCTGAAACAGATTTTTTTAAAAACTCGCCCTTCAGGCTTACTCTGCTTCTAAAACTTTATTTTTTTCTGCTCATCACTAAGCACTGATTTTGCCAGATAAACAATGTGCCTCCAAAAATCTTGAATTTCTTGACATGAGATAATCAATTGATCATTAGAACAATTTAAGTGCAGCACTGGAGAGTTGTGGATGATTTTAAAACAATAGCAGCGTACCTCCTTGCTGCTTGTTTCCTCTTCGGCCTCATAACCACTGCTGCTCTGTCGGTGATCAGTTTCCACTTTTGCGCTCCCAGAACTTTTCTTCTTCTGTTTGTCTTTGCCTGTGATCCTCTGTTTGTAATTGACGAGGAGATCTTTACCGTAGGGCAGCTCTAGGAACACATCATCATCATCATCATCATCACCATCACCATCGTGATGACCATCCTCCTCCTCGTCTTTCTCCTCTTCCTGTGACGATTCTCCATCGTCTGAGCTCTCGTTGACAAAGTTGTTGGCTGTGGAGGGACAGGCGTAGTCTGAGAAAGTGATGGAGCTCTGTTTGTGTTCCACGATGTGCGGTAGATCCAGGACCCTCCGGCCTGAATCAGGAACCGTTTCAGAGAACACAAGCATAGGAGTGGAGTCCAGGTTGAGGACGGTGCCGTTTGAGATGGGCTCTACCTTCTTGAAGTCTGTTTCTACACATTCACAGTTTAAATCCAACGTCTGACAGGGATGATTCTGAACCGCCTGACCCGACTGGACTTCTGCTGTAGGAGCATGTAAGCTACCACAGCAGTCCTGAGCTGGCCTCGGTGATGTGAGCACAGTTTTTGCTTCAAGAAGTTGAGCTCTGCCCAGAGATGCTTCGCCAGGAACGACTGACACTTGTTCAGGCTCCTGAAAGCACACAGTCTCCGCAAATTCAGTGTTGTCATAATTAACACATGCAAAGATCTTCTTAGGCCTGGGTATATCCTCATGTGGCTCCAACAAGGAGCTTTGGTTTTCAGGTGGGAGGCAATCATCCCGTCTGTGGTTGAGTGAGTTGCTGGTTGGGATAGCAGCACTTTCTACAGATGCCTCCTGTGTTGAAACTTTGTGCAATCCTACAACCGTATTCACCACAAGTGGAATCTCCATTTTTGTCATCTATCATCTATAGTTTTTCATAATTCAATACATAAATCCACAGGTACTTGAGTTTGATGTATCGAATAGCCATTTTTTATCCAACGTGCTCAGTCAAACGGCGAAGCAGACAGCCTGAAATAAACAGAGATGATACAGATTAATGGCTTGTAATAGAAAAGCACAGAGAGGAGACGATTATTTCCACAGATCACAGGTAAAACAAGGTGAGGCATCCTTCTTGGAGTGTTTCCGTATCTCCCTGTGATCCCTGTGTCCTGTGATTATGGAAGCGTCGGTATACAAGCATAATGTAAAGCTCGTAAATCCAGCCTTGAACAGCTAACATTATGTGCCATCCAGCCAAGACTTTGCAGCGAAACTAAACTCGACAGCTGGCTCAGGCTGGGCTGTTCAAGTCTGGATCTGTTTCACACACGATCGCGGTGACATCACTGCGCACAGGAATCTGACTGCTCTTCCCCACTTGTTGATTTACTACGCGCTACACCATTCATCAGGGCAGAAGATGTCCCTAGTTGACGGTGCTTAACGTCCCACTCACCCCCTTCATTAAGCCTCTCTTTAAAACACACCTTGGCCACATCCGAGACATCCGAAGCACACGTGGAAAAACAAACAAGCGCATTATTGTGTCTCTGCAGAAGTTTATCATCTTGTCCAACCACAAAGACTTCCCTCAGAGGATGATTTCAGATAGGATAACAGTGCAACTGAACCGGGAAACTTACACAATGAAGTTAACTTGTGGCAGACTTGCTGTCTCCAAGCAGCATGCCCTTTACTTCAGGTTTGAACTGCAAAACATTCATTGATGGAAGATTTTATCTAGAAATAATCAGTGTATTAACCAGAAACGTGCTACATGGCAACAGAAAGCTCACGTGTGTCACTTTGCACACGTGTGTCTCTACTGTTTGTGTGAGAAAGCGGCAGTTGGCAGCGTCTTTACCATGGCCTTGAGACACTTGACACACAAACAGGCATACACACAAACGCGTTCCTTTGCTTTAGAACACAAGCAGATAAAGAAATCTCTGGCAAGGACAAAATCTAACCATGAAGTTATTTTTAATGAATCTTCATTCACTGGATGTATGCATGTGTAGATCCATCCAGCGACGTTACATAATAAGTCAACAAAACGCTGTTAGAGCGTCTCCAGTAAAACCTGTCCCGTCCCTGTGTTGTGAATGTAAAGTGTACAGGCGATTAGGGTTCCTTCCAAGAAACCCCTCTTTTAATAAACACTATGCAAAGGAGGTCTCATTATTCTTAGGTGAATGCTGGGCAGATTTAAATGAAGGGAAGAAGTCAGAGTGAAAACAAACAGGGTGTGTTGAGTGGCAAGGCAAAACCACAACTTATGTAGAAAGTGAGAAAAAAAAAAGAAAGAAAAGATATCCAGTCTGGAGAATTTTCAACAGAACAAGTCTCCTCATGCAGAAACAACCTATAGTATAAGTTACAAAGTCAACCAAGCGTGATTAGCTGACAGAGAAAGTGAGAGCTGTCATTTTTGCTTGTTTTATCCATCATAAGAAGTCATCCCTGAGCTGGCTTCATAGGAAAACAGAAAACAAAACACTTACCTGCTGAGTGGAAAAAGAGTTGTCTGTGTTGCCCAAACAGTGTCACTTAGATCATGGCAAAACAGTGTCAGTGAGGCTGGGTCCTGTAGGAGCAGAGACAGAGTTGGACTGCCCCCTCGCAGAGCCACACTTATGTTCCCATAGGCCTATTCTGGCAAACTCGCCATCACCCCCCTCCCTCCTTGTGTGTTTCCCCGGGGGGGGCTGCAGGGCTGATCAGCTAGCAGTGACTGAACCATTCAGAATATGCGTAAGAGCAGAGGGAGAATGTGTACTTGTCGAGAGATGGAAAGGGGGAGGAGAAAGGAGACGGGGGCGGGTGTGGGGAGTGGAGGCAGCAGCAGAGGTTGGCACTGTAAAAGAACAAGGTGAAATGGGCTTCCAGAGCTCACAAACAGGGACTGACTGACTTCACCGGGCTGAGCTGTGTGCAGGAGGAAGATGAACCGCAGCCGTGACCTGTCGCTTCAAAACAACAGACTGAGGAATGCTTTCAAGTCAAAGCGGACAACTGTGAAGCACCACGAGATAATGCATAGATTAAGATAATGTCTTGATGAGAAGATCTGATGTTGAACTGAAAGCAAAAGCAAATTTAAAGTTTTAAGTCCGAAATCTGGATTACAAAGCAAACCAATTGGTGTTAAAGGAGTCGCATTTGGTTAAGTTGGTGGATATGAGCAAAAAAACAAAAAACAAAGAAGAAGAAAGAAATTTATAAAGAGAAATAATTCAAAGAAAAAAATCTGTATTTTTCAGGTTAAATGTCTTCATTCTTCTTTCTCTAATCCTGATTTCATCCTTTAAAATCCCTGTAATCTCCACATATTGTCTATTTCAACAAGCGATTACCATTTACCATGATCAATCACGATTCAAATGTAAATGACTGCCTTGGAAATTCCAGCCAAAGCATTTCTCAATCTCTTGAGACTCAGTCTGACGTACCAACTAATGCAGGCAGAGCCAAGTGTAACACATGAAATACGCATGGAGAGTCAGGGTGAACATTGGACTGGTGAGGTTTAGGATAAGGTTGGGGTCAGGTTAAGGGCACAACTGTTTAGTGTTAAAGCTCTAAGGTCGGGTTAAGGTTAAGATAAAAGACACATATCAACGTGGAAAATGTCCACCTTCCACAAAATCTTCTCCCAAGAACTGGAATCTAACAACAAGAAGAAAAGGGCACATCAGAGCATTTGTTTGTACATCTGTTGAGGGTTTTTGTTTCAGCTACTTCTCGAGTGAATCTGCAAAAAAATCATTCATTTTCTTCTTCCTTCAGTCTCCCCACCATGAATAAAGTGTTGAAGTCACAGCAACAAATCAGCACATGGACTCAGTCTGACCTCTGGCCAGGGGCAGAAAATGAGCGCTGACTCACTTCTCTCATTCATAAAATACTCTGAAATGTGCCTGTGGCTGTCATTCTCCCTCAGCAATGTTTCAAAGCTTCTGCTTCGTTTTCCTTTTTTTAACAAGTTGTCTTCAGTCTCCTTCCTGCTCTATGAAAACATATGCGCTACAGTAAATGAAGATTCCCATTAATGAGGCCTTGTCCTACTTGTGCTGTCTTCTATACTTTTATTATAACATTATTTTTCGATCACATAATGAATAGCAAACAAAAATTGGAATATTTTGCGACTAAAACTGAGAAACAAATCTTGAAAAACCAAGGAAGCAATAACTTCATTTTAGGGCTCGACGCCGCAGCCACACAATGGCAATAAATCCACTGTTTAACCAGTGAGATAAGGTGTACGTGCACAAAATGTAATGTTATCTGATCTTTTGTTCACGGTGTATGACATTCCTCATGTCCTTGATTTGTACATGTGTACATTTCTTCTATTGTCTGAAAGGTTACATGCAAAGGCACACAAGAACTTTGGTGTTTGCCAATAACTGTAAAAGTTAAGTATTACACTGTCCTTGAAAACAGACTCCTGTAAAGTCAAATTAAAACCTAACTACGTCTTATCAAAAAAAATATATACGATACATTTGTCTTGGTTGTATACATACAGACAAGCGTAAAGGCAGATAATGTGCTGCAGTCTTGTGTTTTTTTTCCAGTTGGGAAAGGAAACAAAAGTGTGCAGGTGCATGTGAATGAGGAGAGGCAGAAAGAGTGGACGAAAGGAACAGAGAGAGGTCTATCAGAGCTGTCGAGGTGAACAGTCCAAGGCCAGTGGGAGTGAGAACAGTTTGACTTAAACACAGCTGGATGTTCTCACAAGCTAACCTAGCAGGCCCTGTCTGGCCCTGGCCCTCATGGAGGGGGGAGAAAAGAGAGCACAGCCTCTTTTTGTGTCACTGCAAGAAAAACACAGGCTTTGCTTCCAAGTGGGATAGAAGTCAGTATCAGCAGCCTGAGCAGGAGGGAAGAAATAAAAGAGGACATGGTCTTTGTATAAATAAAGCATAGTCACTCTACTCGGGCCAAGCAGCAGGCTCCATCTTTGTGTCTCGATCAAGTTTGATTTACTGTCAACACCATTTTCTTGCTTCTGAAGTTGGAAGGCTGCAAAAGAGTCATGTTGACTCTTTAACAAAGTTTGTGACCTTTCTTTCTTTTTCTTTTTTTTCTTTTTCTATCTGCATTGTTTGCTGTTCTATCAGTTTGAGGGATTTGGAGTCTGTAGTTGTGCCAGCAGCTCTGTGAGGTTGTTGGTTCAAAACATCAGTTTAGCTTGTTGGCCTGCTAACATTTGTTATCTGCAAATAAGCAAAATACGGCTGAGACTGATGAGAGTGTCATTATTTTTGCAGGTTAGTCATATAGAAAAATACTGACCTGATGATAGCACAAAACATAAAGTTCATCCTGAGAGGGCTTTGACAGGGATGTGCATGGAGTTTTTCAAGGTCTCATTCTAAACAGAATTATTAAATCATAATTCAGGGTAACATTGTCCACAGCATTTTTCCAATCAAAATTGCTTGTGCAACTAAAACAGCATGTCATTTATACTTTGAGTCATTTCAGTTCTGAGCCTCTGACTTTCAGCTCTTGTTGCAGAAAAACACACTGAGACACCTGAAGACAAGGAGAAATTTCATGGACGTGATGCTGACAATGGCTTAAATATCTCATATTTCACAAGAGGCATTAGAAGCATTTTACCCAATCACTGGACTCTTCAACGCTCACTGACCGGAAACTTAGCCCCTAACAGACATGCACTTTCCTTAACATGGTGGTGCTCGAGGAAACGTCAAGTCCAGCAATTGCAAAAATATGTGCGTATGTCTATGCATGTTCCAGACCTAAAAGCTGTTTGAAGCAGATTTAGATATTCAGACTTCCATCCATCCATCCATCCATTATCTATACACCGCCCAATCCTCAATAGGGTCGCGGGGGGGCTGGAGCCTATCCCAGCCGACCCAGGGCGAAGGCAGGGGACACCCTGGACAGGCCGCCAGTCCATCGCAGCGCCACACTCAGAGACAGACAACCAAGCACACTCACATTCATTTAGAAAAATCAATTAACCTCAACATGTTTTTGGACTGTGTGGGAGGAAGCCGGAGAACCCAGAGAGAACCCACACTGCATGAGGAGAACATGCAAACTCCACGCAGAAAGACGCGAACCGGCAACCTTCTTGCTGCGAGGCAACAGTGCTACCAACTGCGCCACCCTGCAGCCCAGATTTAAATATCTAAGTAATGTGTTGTGGTCTGCGAGCATATTTGAGTTCCTGCTTTCTAGTGGTTCTGAAAACTTACATCTCCTCAATATCAATGCAAATGCAGCTGTTGGAGCTGTATAGTCATAAAGAGAGCTGTGATAAAATAAATGGAAAAAAAAGAGGATATTTCCTGCTGCAGTTCACTGCTATGACAACTATGTTAAGACTGGGAGGACGTGGACAAGCTGGCAAAGCAAACTGCCAGAGATGGCAGACATACCAGGGCCTGAAAGCAGCAGGCGGAGCAGCTCAGCGCCCTTCCAGAAAGAAGCAAATGTGAGTTTAAGAGGATATTACTGTTTGCTTTTGGCTGATGTACAGAGCGATAAGAATGATAATGTCCCAGTCTGTTCACTATTCACTTCAGCTGGAAGTACAACAGATTGAAATTGACAGAGTTCATGACTGAAGAACTACAACACCCGAGGCTACGCAATACTTCTGTCAGTCAGATATGAATCTTAAACCAGGCTGGAAATATGTATTTTTAATATAACATTTTATCAACCCATTAAACACACTTGGTTTCTATTTTGGATTCTTTTCTGGTCTGTTCTTGTTTTAGAAATATGACAGTTTGACACAAGACAACTTACTGACTCGAGCCGGTGGAAGATATTTCAGCCTTCAAGAGTTCACACAACCTGAATCACTCTAAAAAACAACTCAGCGCTATAAACACTCAGAAATCCAGTGGCAGCATTAGATTAACTGATAACTACTAATATGAATTTCTCACAAATATGTGTTTACCACATGGAAATTTGCAAGGTTTACTACATTAAGTTTGCGTGTAGTAAGACAATAACATCTTCTTTGTGGAATTAATATAAAATAAAGTATTATACATTACAGGGAAATTCAAGATTCCCTAAAATATATAATAAGAAATTCTATAAATCTGAGGGAAATCATTAATTTGACATGAGGGTTTAACCAGGCAATATATTATATATAAACAAATCTTCAAAATACACGTTTATCTGCCAAAAATACAAAAAAAGAAATCATTTATTTTTTACAGAAAAAAACAACAAACTGCTAGACATCCGATGGAAGTAATCTGTAGATTCCAATGTCCTAATAAGAAAGGAACCTACAGATGTGTTGATCATATGTATTGTGTGCTTGCTGCATCAATAATGCATCACAAAAATATATATTAAGAGAGATTTTTCAAAAATGCAATTAAATAGGGGCCAAAAGTTTGTGTCGTCACTGATAAAAAAAAAACATGTAAATATAATAAAATGATTATTGGCCAAAGATGCAAACAATGATAAATACTTGTGCATTAACTTCATTTTGCCTCAATTGCTGTATATTTAACGACTGACTGGAATATGACTTGTTTTACAGTGCATAAGGAGAAACACATTCTGCGCTGTCA